TCGCCGCTGTGGAAGGCCGCGTAGGCGCTCAGGAGGTACCGCTCGATGCCCGCCCACATCGCCTCCTTGGAAGGGAAACGTGCCGGAGGGGGGTCCAGGGAGACCGCCAGCGAGGACGACGACGAGGAGAAGGAGGGGGGGGGGGGGCAACTGAGGGGGTCGTCCGCGCGCTCGCGCTCTTCCGTTGCCCCTCCGCGAGATCCCCCCTATCGAGGGCGGACCAGCCGTCGACGCGTTTCAGCACCGGCGGCGTCGCGAACCGGCAGCGCGTCTCCCCGGCGGGATCCCTAGTCGATGTTGTTTTGTCTGTTAAGCCATGCATCCGTGGGCTGCACATGCACAGCCCCACGGTCTGTATTTATTTATTTATTGGTGGATGCACAAAGAGGGTCCCCCTTCTTCGATGCCGTCGAAGAACTCTTAAGCGCTCGAAGTTTTCGGATCGACCCTTTTACACAAGGAAGGAAGTGATGGGCGAGATGATAGCTGAGCGCCTGACTGCCTTCCTTGTGAATTAGTATACGAACAAAGTGGAAGCGAATTTATGAGCTGAGATGCACGATAACTGGGCTTTCTTCGGTTTAATGCAACTTTTTACGTTTTTTTTTTTCGTATGTGCACGAGTAGTGTGAGTATCGGATCGACTCACCACGACACTTTTGCAATGTACGGTAGACCTTTATTCATTTTCAAGAGAACCCACATAAGAAGGAAAAAGGAGAATGTGATTATTAACCAAAAAAACGACGACGCGAAAGTAGCAATCCCACTACCACATAGAAGGCTCAATTCTTCAAACGCACGCCACATACCATTTTCCACGAGTATGAGCAGAAGAGTGCTGGATTAGGTTTGTTCATCATCCAACACGAGCTCCCCTTTTCCCTTCCTGCCTAAGCACACACACAACAACAACAACAACAAAAAACGCCTCATCCGACGCTTGACGGCCTCCGATGAGGATCACCACTTTTCCATCACCCGTGTGTACCTTGGCCCCCCTCCCAATGAAGGAAGGGGGATGGGGACTCTTCTCTTCATTCTTTCCAAGCCTACCTCGGGCGCCGCTTATCGTTGCTGTCGTCGCGACCGCCCCCGTGGCTTCCACCCATCCCGCCACGACCCGACCGCGCCGCTGGCGAGTTTCCCTTCAACGCCTTCAACACGCTCTCCGTCCGCGCGTTCGCCGACGATGGGCGGGGGGCCGATCGCCCTTTTCCGCTCCCCCCTGCCGCGTCTTTCCTTTCCGCTTCCCGCCGTGCGGGCGAAGGAGGGGCCGTCGTCGCGGGCGCCGCCCCACGGACCTCTCCCAACGCCTGCTTCAACACGCTGCTGCCAACGGAGGATCGCGCGCCCGTTGTTGCTGTAGTGGTGGTGGGGGTTTTACGAGGGGTGGAAGACGCCGCCTCGGCGGGGTGGCGGCCATCGAGGATGTTTCGCCAGTAGCGCTCCGCATTCCGGCGGAACTCCTGTTCGATCGCCGGCGAAAGTTCGTTCTCGAGGGCGCGCGCGAGGATGCGGTTGGAGGCTTGCGCGGCCGCCCGCCGTGCGGGCGCGCGCGCGGTGTACCGTCGGAGGACCTCCTCGAAAAACCCGAGCATCGGCGCGACGCGGTGGAAAAAACGGTTGAACGAGACAACCAACCCCACCCCGGAGGCGGACTTGAGGAGGAGCTGCAACCCCGGGTGGGCTGTGATCGCCTTGAAGTCGGGCGACCGCGCGAGGGCGTCGTGCAGGCGGTGGAGGTCTTCCTTGTTGCCCGGGGTGAGCCGCGCGAGGCTGTCTTGCCGGCTCGCGAAGTAGTTGAAGTCTTTGCTGTTCGGCGCGATGAAACCCGTCGCGCGGACGCTGGTGGGGCCCGCGACGATGCCATACCGCCGAAAGGTCTCCGTCGTCTGAATCACCTCAGCCTTGATGTTGTCGAAGATGAAGGGCCCGAGGTTGGGCGGGAGGAGCTGGATCTGCGTGTACTGCCCGGGGTGGTGGCCGGTGTGGTTCACCTCAAAATACTCCACCTGACTCACGAGCCGCTCCGGGCGCACGCAAAAGTTTCCGAGAAAGGCCACGAACACGTCGATGGCCTCGCGCAGGTTGGGCACGAATTTCCCCTCCGAGTAGTCCTCGTAGAGGCCGCTGACCTTGGCGTGGTTCATGCCGTAGATGGGGAGGAACGCGTTGAAGAATTCCTGCCGGAGGACGGGGTTGCGTTTGTTCTCCCGGATCGCATATTGGACGTCCATCGCGACGCCGTCGTCGTGGAAGGGGAGCTCCGCGAGGACGTGCACCATCATATCCGCATCGCGGGTTTTCCCGCCGGGCGCGGTCGAGCGCGGTTTGCGATTTCCTCCGCCGCCGCCTCCTGCGACCCCTCCCGCGCTACCAGCGGTGCCGGGTTGATTCGGCCCCGTCCAGCTCATCACGAGGGAAACGGGAACGATAAACCCCTCCTCGCCGCCGCTCTCCAGGCGACGGTGCTCCGGGCATCGCGCGAGCCCGCGGAGGGCGGTGCTCACATGCTCCTCCGACACCCCCATCGCGCGGAGCAGCCGCGCCAGCTCGG